GAACGGAAACAATACCAGTGGGAGAAAAATTATTTAGGTTATTCTAATAAGATTAATTTATTAAATTAAGTTTTACAAAATGTAAAACTTAATTTAAAGTGCAGATAAATCTAAGGAAATTGTCAGTTACTAACAAATGAGTTAATTTAGTAAACAATTTAAACAAATGCAAATCCATCCACCTAAAGAATGGCATCTTATAGAAAATCAACTAAGAATTTTAGGAGTGCAGGATTGATTAGTGGACTTAATAGAATTTATTTACTGTAGTAATTATTTTTACATACAGTTGAACTTGATTTACTCAAATCGGTGGGGAAAAAATTCGGACTTCGAGTTATGGAGATTAGGCTAAAAGTCAAAATTTATTGCATGAGTTTATCAGTGACCAAAATAAACTATCCACACGAACTATCCATGTGTAATACCTCGTACGACACATGTTTATTGTAGTATTAGGCATGGACATGTGTAGCATTACGATTACGCAAATCATTGCATCAATATAAACCCCTGGATGTTGTCCAGAAACTCGAAAACGCATAATTCAATGGATAAATAAGCTACCGAAAAATCCTTTTCAGAATGGTTGATCCTTTCACTAAGCGTTTAGTAAGGATTTTTTAAATTGTGGTATTTCGCACCTACAATCCATCTGTTTTCTTTTCTATTACAAAAAACACTCTTTTCACTTTTTTAAAATTTTGCCGCAAAGGTTAAATTTTTTTACATAGAATTCGCCTATAATAGATTTTTTAAAAATTAACCTTTCAAAAATCTATTCATTAATTTATTTCATACATTAGCTAGTCGGAGAAATCCACCAGTGATCAAATGAAAAAAAAGGTAAGTTCAAATGGCAGATACGAGTATGTAGGTCGCTAGAAGCCGCCATCCCGGCCACCGTCACTTGACACGTTTTCTATTTAGTGGTACGGGATTCCAAGGCTTTATAGAAAGTTTCTGATTAGTTTATACGGTGGATGAACGTTTAATTTTCTTTCTGCAAAAATTTAATAGGATAGTTTTTAATAGAGAGTCTTCATGCAATTTTTTGATAAAAAGAAAATATGAAGATTAGCTATTTGCCTATGTTCTTCAATCATATCAGCTTAATTATGACTGAATTACGGCACGAGGCAGAAAATAGAAACATATTAAGATTAGCAACTGCGATTTGCTCATATCTAGCCAATAGAATGAAAGGAATAAAAAAAAATCCAGCGACGAGTTGCTTAACTTTCCGCATAACTGCGTGTTTGGCGCCATTATGATATTTTAGTTTAACTATTATAAAATGGCAAAACGCTTGATTTTCAAGGTAGGGATGGGTTTTATAAAAAATTGTAAATGTTAATAATGGGTAAAATCGTCATTAAGTTTGACCCTACTGGAGATACACACTGCTTCTTTATCTCCTCATCCCCTTGACCTATAATCACCAAAATTTAACAGCTCAAAGCCTCTAATAATTAAACTTCCACGCAAAGGAAACAACAATTTTCATCCCTAAGTACAGGAGTTATTAAACTTCAAACAGTGTGAACAAAATCGTGCACATATACTAACAACCATACATGCAGGAAAAAAAATCCGATATTTTTTATTACAAAATTTACAAATAACGTCTAAAACATCTTATAATATATACCTGGTAGTGTTATAAACATTCAAAAATTAATTTTCTATATTTAAAATTCATTTATCCTGTAATTTAATTAATATTATAAGATCTTTTTAATAATTCCCTTAAGAAATGAATAAAAAATTGGTTTTGATTTTAATAGTTCTTATCTTAATCTATAACAAAAAACGAAGTATTCTAAGATAAATTACATTTGAATTTCCTCAAATTTAAATAACATTTTGATATTTGGAAGCATGAAAATAATATAAATGTAGTATCTCAGGATGAGGTAATGATTTTTTACTCGTTATTGGCATTTATAATGTTTTTAAAAACTCATTGTTATCTTCAAAACTAACCGATTTTTTCCTTTTTATAATCATTAAAAATATAAAAATTATGTCCACGCCGTATCTAATATCGTTTTTCATTTCATATAAATCAAAAATAATAATTTATAAATAAACTTCAAAAATGTAAGTAATCATAATTCTTCCGGAATATCTCAAAAAAAAAGAAAAGAAAAACACAAAACTTTTGAAAAAAATTCGCTTAAAGATGGCCACGGATAACAGAAAAATCCGATAGGTCTTCCCTCTATAATAGAATTATCAGCTATATTTATAATTAGTCCTACTCTCTGTTATTTATTTATTTATTTTTGAGATTTTCTTGAAAAATTGTGATTAAGTAAACTAATTTAGGTATTAGAAACGTGAAGAAATCCTGGAAAGCTTCACGTAACAGCTTGCTGGCGATGCTCGAACCCAAGAGTTAAATAGGTTTTTTCCAATCTTTTAGAAGTAAGAATAATTTAGTAATTTTTAACTATTTATACAAATGACTAAAATATTCATTATTACTTAGCAAGAAAATTGTTTTAACTTTATTTCATTAATTAATATTATAAAAATGTATACAGTATATATGTATATTGCATATGTATATATGCACTAATTTTATAAATTGTGAAGTATCATGTATGCTGCTTTCTCGGCTATCATCATAGTAGGAGCCATCGTGGTGGCCCCAATCAACGAAGGAATGATCGATGCGTCCACAACTCTTAGTCCCTGGATTCCTTTAACCCTGCCAACACAATATATAGATATATATATATATTTTAATCGGTAAAATTCGACTATTATAAATAGAACTATGTATAAGATTTTATTCCACAATAATTTCTTATATGTATATATACTTAAAGTAGAACCTGTATATATATATATATATATATATCTATGGGTGTATAGGAATATTGACTAAAACATAAATTTAATTATTTTAAGTACTATTGATTTGCATTTTTGAAGTTTTAAATAAATTTGTCACCTTAAAGCATGTTAAAAGTATCGCTTTTAATATACAGCAAATATACTATAACAATGTTTCTTAATTTTTTTAGAGATCGATACCTGCTTGAATCTCAAAATTCGGGCTTGCACTTCCTTCAAAATTGTGTTCCAATGTTTTTTTGTTATGAAATCCAAATGATGCCATGTTGTTTTTTTAGTTTTAAGAAAGCTATTTAATTAGTAGGTGCAGTACACGCGTTTCTGATCCCTGTTAAGCACTGTTGATGGCGGATGTTAAGCACTATGTATATATAAGACTTTAATTATGTAGATTTGACATCATTTTATATTCCCTCGTTATAAAAAGCGTAAGAACGACATCAAAATGACGTAAGAAGTTAAATTATTCTGATAAAACGAAAGCGCCTTGTTCCTAGGGCCAACCCGAGCTATAGGCAGTCACCTAAGAAGCAAAAATTTATATGTGCCACAGGATCATCAGTATACATTGGTGCATGAGATAGGTATACATTGGCTCTAAAGGGAGATAGGCTCCCTTTAGAGCCTAGGGCGCCCTTTAACTGATGATCCTATGGGACCCTATGCTCTTGTGGCACCATCGTTATAGTATAGGGATGCGCTTGTGGCACCTCCATAGTAAAACGAATGTACATAAGAAGAAAATGTTTACAAAACCATGTACAGCAGCGGTTTTACAAATATCTCATGCACCAATGTATACCTAATTGATTAAACTAATTTCTATTATTTGAGAAGTGCCAATTAGAAAAAATGAACAAATATAAGATAATAAAAATTCTTTGCGAAGATTGTACTTAGAGATCTAAATATTGAACTACATTTCTAAAATAAAACTTATATTAAAATGTTTTATCAATAAATCAGGCAATAGATTCAATTAATATTTTGTTCACTTATTAGGTATGAAATAGGCCTATGAGGAATTTTTCAGTATATGAAAAAACATAATATTTACAATGAAGTCCAAGTAATTATTTTAAAATATCTATTAAAGTATTTTAAGTAAATTTATTAAATGATAATTTCTTACAATTTTACAATTAGGTATCTAACTATTGAATACAGCATAGTTATAATGGTAAAAGAAAAAGATCACTAACTTGAGAGTTGGATCAACTACTGAAGTAGGATCATCGGAGCTACCCATTTTGCACGTTCCAACAAAATGGAGTCCCGAAAGAGGTAAAACAGAAGCCATACAAGACAGATAATCATCGCTGAATCTCCTATAATGTTCGCATCCAGGCATAATATATGGAAGGGGTTTGATACCAAACTTCTTCATAGATACTGTAGCCGTCATTTTTAAGCAATGGTTCAAACCTATAAAAATATATATTGAAAAGTAATATAAAGTATATTTAATGAACAATTTATAAAAAAAAAATATTGTCATAGAATAATATACATTAATTACCAGTCATTAATAAGGCTTTTACAAAAATAAGTTAACTAAATTAAGTATAATCAGTTTAATTTTCTAAATGGATTACCTTCCACAAGAGCTTTCAAGTCATAGGGATCAGAAAAGATATTGAAATCGATTAGAGGTTTTTCATATGGATCATTGGATTTCAATGTCAAAACTCCTCGACTTTTAGGCCGAGCAACGTAAGGTACACATGAAATGATATCCTGATTGCGAAATTTCTCGTATATTTTCTGTATCTTTAAATATAATTGTAATTAGTAATAAAAGAAAAATTGCATTTGAATTATTTTCAGCAATAAAGCGATAGAAATAACAATACATCATCATTAGCGTTTGAAAATGCATTTTGAATCCTTGAAGTTATCCAAAATATAATTACATCCGGCCAATTTTTATTATTGTTATATTCTGTGCTGATAAAACCACTCGATTCGACTCCTCCAAGGGTCGTTAGAGGGCCTTAAAAAGAATTAGTTATTTTCAGAAATGTGAAATATCTTTAATTCAAAATTACATTTTAAATAAAATTTTTATAATAATTATTCTCTGTGTAATTTAATTAACTTAAATCGAAATCATATTTTTAAGAACATTTATGATGTATCTAGAATCTTATATTATGTTGCTAAATCGGATACGAATTTAGGTTCGATTTACAGTGGCTTCAGGAATGTCTTCTATAAATTATTATGAATTGATAAGATTAATTGTAGCACACAAAATATTTTTATTTCAAATATTTTGTCTCGTGAAATTTATAATTTATTAAAATCACCCTATACTATAAAAAACCATTTTTATCTTCCTAAAAAGAACGACCATTTAAAAAATTATTAAGAATTAATTACCGGTTCCGTTAATTAGAAGTTCTTGGTAATCTTCTTTAGTAGTTCGATGTTCCGAAAACGTATAAGAGTCAACAAGAAATTGTAATGCTGTAGTTGAAGCATGATCTTGAAGATTCTTTCCAACGGGAAGATCCATTTTCACTGGTATCTAAAGAATAACATTTTAAAATTCGTTATTTGTGTTACATTTATGATTTTAATTACGATAGATTAATTATTTCCTGTATATTTATATATTCAAAAATAATTATAATACTTAGTTTATTCGAAAAGTAAGTTACAAACGAGAAACGCTTGGAAACTCTGATCCCATCTGCTTGAATATATGGTGAATAAACATTAAAGCATTTGTTCATACATTTATTACAGTATTTAATCATCTGATGAAAATCTCTTTCTAGAGACATGTTCTTCAGAGATTCAAACAAATAAATACAATGCTTGTAGACTGTGGATACATAGATTTGTTACGTACATAAAAATTCTGAACGTATCTTTGTAAGATTGTGGGCCACCCGTCATACAGCCGAAACTTCGATCTAGTGACTATTATTTATTCGCATCGCTGAAGAAACACATATACGAGAAACTGTTCTAATCAGATGATGAAGTAGCAAGTAATAATCTGAAGGTTCTATCTGATTCATCATGCATGACTTCCTATCATGCATAACAAAATTAATATATCTTTAATACTTCTGGAATGAAAAAACTACACGAGACTTCTGATTTACCTTGTGCATAGATTATATACCTACAATATTCTGTTTAATTAAAATAGTCCAATTCTTCCCAAATGGGGAATGAAATCCCAAAAATCTCTGAATGCACTACTTGTCATGCTCCTTGTGTAAGGGAGAGTTGAATTAAATATACATAAGTAAATCAACTTGTTTTAAATAAACATGATAATAATAATACATTTAGTAAAATACATAGTATATAAGAGCTTCTTCTCTCAATTAATATAGATGAATGAATCTCAAGTTATGTGTAGTAGAGATGACAGAGACTTATCACACTTCTACTGATGACTTCAAAATGACACTTCTATCTTCAGAAAGCAATTTTATTACTGGTATGTATTTCAGTACAAAAGATTGTAATCAGCCATATATGAATATATCTGCACAATTGAAAAAAGTATATTATATACACTTCAAGTAACACAAAAGATTTAGAATTTTTCATTACAATTTTTGAATGATGTCATGTTTTTGAATGGAACTTGTTAATCTTTTTGGTAAGGATACATTATTCATGTATGGCTGATGAAGGTCTTTTGTACCGAAATGCAATAAAGTTTCATTCTGATGATACAAGAGCCATTTTGATGTCCTGAGTCTCTGTTATCTCTACTATATGGTATTTGAGATTCATTCGTCAGCATTAATATACATAAATTATTCTAATTAGGAAAGATTAACATCTAAATCATGAACACTTCACTTTTATATCGCATTAAAATGAGTTTCCTTACATTTAAATATGCAATAAATAATATTACTGACATGTAGCTTATGCAGAAGATTTTTCGGTCCAATTCCCGAGAGCATAAGCAATTTAGGAGAATTCAAAGTTCCTGCACATATTATCACTTCCTTTCTTGCAACTGCCGTGAGTTTTTTTCCATCGTGATCGAATGAAACACCATAAGCCCTATTATCTTCGTTAATTAATATCTAAAATAGTTATAAATAAGTATTTTAATTAACTTAAAATATAAAGTTACTTACTAAATACTAAATAATAAAGTTACTAAAATATTAACTAACAATTTAAAATGTTCTAAATGAAAATTTAGTCCACTTGAGTGGAAAAAGATGATTATCCAATTGATAAGCATTTGAAGTTTATTTTCATTATTTTCCCGACTGTTATGTATAAATCGCGGAAACTTTATAATTTTTTCAAATTTTACACTCTGTGCTTTCTGCAAATTTCCATTTTTGTAATTCCTAAATCCAAAGCAGTCAAAAAGGGGAAAATTACATGTGTTGGCATCCATTTCATTTACTATCTGAGAATGGTATAAATATTCAGAAACGAAATTTGGCGAGGTAACTTATATATAAGGGACACTGTTGCTATTAAATTTCTATGGTTAAAGGTCGAGGAGGTGGAGAGATAGAAAGGTCATGTGTCGGAATAAATAAGATCTTACTCGTTATTTGCATGTACATTTTGTAAAAAAACTCATCTCTACTAATTCTTTTTCCTCTATGTTCTTATTAAATTCTTTAATATGTCATTGTCTACATTGGACTCAGTATATTAACAGGACTTATTGTACTGGTGTTGTTCTCGTTTTAGCAAATAGAGGATTTTCTAAATAAGATCTCTATTTGCTAGAACGGAAACAATACCAGTACAATAAGTCCTATTAATATATAGTGTTCAACGTAGACAATGACATAATAAAGAATTTATCTATACCCTCAAGTAAAGCCTTTGCATAATAATTAAAAATGTAAAAGTTATTTTCAATAAAATCTTGTAATAGATTGAGCCACACATAATTTTAACTGCACTATTATGTCTTAAGTTTCTTAAACATAAATATTTTGCGCCAGGAAACTTATACAATTTATTGCTCGAATTTTTTCTTACGTATTGAGTGCGTCTAGGCCACAAACAGCTAAGTAAACAAGCCAATGACACAGTTCGTTTCATATAAAAAACAAACTATGTCATTGGCTTGCTCAGCAATTTCTTACAAAGGCACCCATTGTGATTAAAGAATTTATACTATAATGTAATGTAAACGTTATAAATAGATATTAAGCTGAATTTTATGATGAAAAGCCTGACATATTCTAGTCAACCCATCAACAGTAGTAAGTGCGATTGTATGATGATTTCTCAAGTGTTTTGTAACTTTTGTTTAAAATGAAATAGAGCTATTCCAAACTTGGTCCTTTTAAATATATTAATGAAAATGTGAACAACGATTTTTATAGATATAATAAATTATAATTGAGCTAAGAGCCTTTCAAGATTCAATATCTTTCTGAAGGATATATAATTATATATGAGTATTATATGTATAAAGGAACATCTGCATGTCTGTTCTCTATGCACTTCTAAACCCGACCTACACCAAATTTCTCATCAGTTGCTCTCCAGAAACCTGCTGAAAGTATTGTCTATCATAAATCCATTAAATCACCTCCTTCCCTAATTTAATCCTTTTCGCAAATAAAAATATAAAAGTTTTATCTGCAAATAAATCATGTGGTAAACTAATTATTCAATAATAATCTTCAATTTATAAATGGACATTTTCTTAATTCCTAGTTCTTCAGTTGATTCTTAGTCGAAGAATATATAAATTTATCAAAAAAATAATCTAAGTTTCCTGTAAGTAAACTTTGAAAATTTGAAATATTATATTATCATTTTATCAATAATAGCTTCCTTTATCAAAATGAGGAAAGCTATTTTGAAATGGATTGCTATTATAACAGTCAAACTGTTGACAGCTCGGTTTACAAGGAAAAACAATAGCGAGGTTGCGGCCGAAGTTTTCATCTGTAAAACGTGAACGTTTTACAGATGAAAACTTCACGCCGCTTACAAGTTAGCGGCGCTCGCGTTCGACGTTCACGTTTTACAGATGAAAACTTCGGTCGAAACCTGTCTAATATCATTGTTATTGAAATAACGATGAAAAAATATGGTATATTTAATAGTTGTAATAAAAATCAAATCCTTGGGGTATCACATTGATAAATTTTTCCTCTGTATTTTGTGAAAACTTTTATGTTAAAATAACTTGTATTAAATAATGACATTCAAAACTATTTCTAGCATACTTTAGTTGCAAATGCTGAAGTTATCAATTGAAAATTCCTCCTTCCTATGATAGTGTCGATAAATCCTCGAACTGCACTCCATCTTACTCCTCGATTAATTGCACCTTGTGGCTGCATAAACACTGTCAATAAAGAAATATATATATATANTCCTTGTGATACAAATATATCAAGATTTTTGATACAGTTATTATTATTGTTAAATATTTTTCAGCATAAAAATTTGAATATTTCTATAGATAAAACTGTTAGATATGTTATCGTCTTATGTTACGTAATACAGGATAAATCTGATATAACAGAAAGCATATTTATTATGAACTTTATTCCATATTAAATTATTATTAGGTAAAATTACAAATATTCAACATGGTTTTCATATTTTTATTATGGGTTGGGTTTTTGTTCTTCCCTGAGACAATTACAACGGATCAGTATGACTATATTGTTGGTGAGTAATATTAAATTAAAACAACCTATATTAATTAATAAACTGTGCATATGTATAACTGTGTATTAATTAATTGTAAATTAATTGTATTTAATTTTTTGAATGAAGTGAGATTTATTAATTATTTTATGTATATCTATATAGACTATCAATAAATATATCTGTAGTTTTTAAAGAAAATAAAATATGAAATAATTAATAAATCTCACTTTATTCGAAAAATTAAATACAATTAATTCAAAGTGATTAAATCAGTTTAAGCTAGTTTCTATAACTCCATTCTGTGAGCACCAAGAAGACCTTTTAAGCAGCACATAACAGGTTTGTCCAGGCCTACAATGGGGTAGACTGGTAGTGAGGGACCGGGCCCAATGGAGCAGTGGAGCCTGACTGAACCCATAATGGGCTTACTAAAACGGGGACCTTAGTGTCCACAAAGAGGAAACAGTTAAAAAATATAACCCAATCCACTGGATTGGGTTGTATTTTTTGGAACTGAATATACAAGTATGTTGCCAATTATAATAGATTTGACACTCAATTTGGATTATTTGACAACTAGATTTGGCTATTTTTCATTTCCTGATTCGTTCCGCCTTGTCGACACTATAAGGGCCTTTCTTTCCATACTCATTGCGAATTCGGCTTGGTCTGCATTAGGGGCGATCGAGAGGTGAGAGATGGGACCCTAAGTATACGGGATTTACCGTGCAAGTAAAATTCGTGCGGTTCTAGCTTACATGTAATCTCGGATTCTTCAGAGCTGTAGGTTGAGCCTTAATCGCCTTTGCCAAATTTAGTCCAATGCATTTGACTAGTATGATTGAAAAAGTTCTAAAGTAAAGAATTTCAAAGTGAAGAACACAAATTAAATAAGGGCTCTACACATAATAGTCCAATTCTGTTTAAGAAGGAAGATACAGGTTTGTGATAAGATTTGAGTATGCTAGTTGTAAAAATTCTCAATATTGTAGCATATTTAATTGAATAGAGAGGTTGAGGCGCACGTTTTAAACGTGTAAACGTGTACGTGTGACGTTCGGCGCCGCTTTCCCGTAAGCCTAAAAGTTTGACAATGGTGTTTGGATAGTCGGTGGAATCACGCTCGACATTCCAAACATCATCGTCAAACTTTTAGGCTTACGGGAAAGCGGCGCCGAACGTCACACGTACACGTTTACACGTTTAAAACGTGCGCCTCAACCTCTCTATTCAATTAAATATGCTACAATATTGAGAATTTTTACAACTAGCATACTCAAATCTTATCACAAACCTGTATCTTCCTTCTTAAACAGAATTGGACTATTATGTGTAGAGCCCTTATTTAATTTGTGTTCTTCACTTTGAAATTCTTTACTTTAGAACTTTTTCAATCATACTAGTCAAATGCATTGGACTAAATTTGGCAAAGGCGATTAAGGCTCAACCTACAGCTCTGAAGAATCCGAGATTACATGTAAGCTAGAACCGCACGAATTTTACTTGCACGGTAAATCCCGTATACTTAGGGTCCCATCTCTCACCTCTCGATCGCCCCTAATGCAGACCAAGCCGAATTCGCAATGAGTATGGAAAGAAAGGCCCTTATAGTGTCGACAAGGCGGAACGAATCAGGAAATGAAAAATAGCCAAATCTAGTTGTCAAATAATCCAAATTGAGTGTCAAATCTATTATAATTGGCAACATACTTGTATATTCAGTTCCAAAAAATACAACCCAATCCAGTGGATTGGGTTATATTTTTTAACTGTTTCCTCTTTGTGGACACTAAGGTCCCCGTTTTAGTAAGCCCATTATGGGTTCAGTCAGGCTCCACTGCTCCATTGGGCCCGGTCCCTCACTACCAGTCTACCCCATTGTAGGCCTGGACAAACCTGTTATGTGCTGCTTAAAAGGTCTTCTTGGTGCTCACAGAATGGAGTTATAGAAACTAGCTTAAACTGATTTAATCACTTTGAATTAATTGTATTTAATTTTTCGAATAAAGTGAGATTTATTAATTATTTCATATTTTATTTTCTTTAAAAACTACAGATATATTTATTGATAGTCTATATAGATATACATAAAATAATTAATAAATCTCACTTCATTCAAAAAATTAAATACAATTAATTTACAATTAATTAATACACAGTTATACATATGCACAGTTTATTAATTAATATAGGTTGTTTTAATTTAATATTACTCACCAACAATATAGTCATACTGATCCGTTGTAATTGTCTCAGGGAAGAACAAAAACCCAACCCATAATAAAAATATGAAAACCATGTTGAATATTTGTAATTTTACCTAATAATAATTTAATATGGAATAAAGTTCATAATAAATATGCTTTCTGTTATATCAGATTTATCCTGTATTACGTAACATAAGACGATAACATATCTAACAGTTTTATCTATAGAAATATTCAAATTTTTATGCTGAAAAATATTTAACAATAATAATAACTGTATCAAAAATCTTGATATATTTGTATCAGAAGGAAAATTATACGAATATACTTAATTTTCAATAATATCTGTAATTAATTTAATTTAAAATATATGCTCTTTACCTCAAATTAGTTGTCTCTTGCCCTTGTACATCATACTTTTCCCTGTTAGAAATAGCGTCGTGCGGTAATCTATCTCTTCTGTTTAGAGGAAAATTAAGGAAGGATAGACAGCCAAACAGTGGGCATTTAAGGTGCGCAATTTTTTCAAGTTGCAGCCCAATCAGGTTAATGTTTTAGCTGTAGGCTAAATCAGTGGTGCTCAACGTTTCTCGTATCGTGGACCATTCTATGATGGACCGCGAACCCTCTCAAAGTTCTGCGGACTCCTAGGGGGTTCGCGGACAATCGATTAAGAAGCGCAGGGCTAGATCCCAAAAAGAAGAAAATAGAGCGGGATAAGGAAAAAATTTATTTATGTATTTATTATACTTTACGCCAATCTAATATACTTTAATATTTTAAAAGAATGCAGCGATCAAATTGAAAATTAATCATTCTTACTATTATGCATGTGTATATATTTAAATGAAAATCGGGTGTGTTTTATTTTAAATATTTTATTTAAACGTATATTATATTCTTATGAGTATATATTATAAGTTACTCAACATATCACTATCTGTTACTATTTGTTCATCTGGTTATTTTCCTGTAAAAAATGATTAAAAGATGACAAAAAAGAGTTTAAAAAACACTACTTCAAGATAATTGTCGCGTATCTATTTTTGATATGAGTTGTTGAATACACATGTTGACAACATTAATTTTGAATTTATAACTCGCCTGCTGAGAATGTACAGACATAACTCCGAAATTGTTAATTTTGAATTATGTATACCACGAGTGTCACAATAATTTACGGTAAAATGTCATCATTCCAGCATAAAGTCTTCAAAACTTATTGAAATTTTTATTCTTCAGTGACGTAACTAAAATTTAAAAAATTACGTACTAAATTTGAAAGATGACGAAAACTAGACCTTAAAGTAGAAAGTGTTCTATTTGGCTAATCCAAATAGTTAAGTTGGAAGGAAAGATTAAAGTTTTCATTGTAGCAATTATCTCGAAATGACATTTTCGGAGTTATTTCACTAAAGTTCTCAGCAGGTGATGTGATGAAATGAAAAGTATGTATACGGTTGGAGTGTGTGCTACGTACAGTACATCGTTGAATTGTTATCATATAAAACAATCAGATTAGTAAATACGTAATCGTCCATTAGGTCCACGAAGATAAAGCTTATTAAACTACTATTTGTACAGCACACAAACCAGATGTAGATTTACATGTGATGCACAGAATATCATAAAAATATATTGTGATGCCACAATAAACACGCGTGCCCAAAACTTCAGGGCAAACATAATTGCTAACGGTGATAACTAGAAAAAGTCACGGAGCCAGTCGCCTGTCACGATGTTGTTGAGTGCTGCATCGCCGTTCCAGGGAAACGTATTCCATACTGACAGATTTTTCTGAATGGTAGTGGTAAACCCTTTTATTTATTCGCCACCTACCTTCAACTGAATGTACCTTTTTCATCAAAGACTTATTTTTATTGCTTTGCATTGTAAAATCAAACAAGTTGTTCTGTAGTATCCTGTCTTAGACATTGAGTAATACAGTTTTTGCCATATCTTTGTTTGCATTCGTCACTTGTATATTCAGTTCCAAAAAATACAACCCAATCCAGTGGATTGGGTTATATTTTTTAACTGTTTCCTCTTTGTGGACACTAAGGTCCCCGTTTTAGTAAGCCCATTATGGGTTCAGTCAGGCTCCACTGCTCCATTGGGCCCGGTCCCTCACTACCAGTCTACCCCATTGTAGGCCTGGACAAACCTGTTATGTGCTGCTTAAAAGGTCTTCTTGGTGCTCACAGAATGGAGTTATAGAAACTAGCTTAAACTGA